CAAGGCCCAGTTAACCGCCCCTGATTAAAAAAATTTGAGTACCACTTGGCTAAACTTGAAATAAAAATCAAATAAAGATCCAAATCCTTCGCTGGTTTTAGAATTGATTATTTTTTTTAAAATTTAAGTGATATTTTCAATTGTAATTGTATTCGCACGGGTTAAGTGAAGCGGTTACAAGGTGGGGTGTTGTTGTGTACCTATGGCTGATTGATCTGACAAAGAATCATACAGATTTATAGCTGATGTCAGAAAATGAGTCTAGAAACAAAGTAGTTGATAGCTGCCAGGCTTGCACTTAAAAGGCTAATACGAAATATCAACGCAAGCCACAGGTGGAATCACCTTTAAGTCAAATATTCGTCACCAAATTCTACATTCAAAAACACACGACTTGTAATATCAACATGACATGACGTGTAATAATCAACCTGTCATAACTTGCTATAATCAACCTGGCATGAATTTCTATAATCAAACTGACATGACTTGCTGTAATCAACCTGACATGACTTGCAATGATCAACATGACATGACTTGTAATAATCAACAAGACACGACTAGCAGTAAACCACCCATATAGTATTTTTTAATATATAGCTCTACTAATTTTCTTAAGGCACGCAATAATTATAGTGTTCAAAAATGTTGGTTGTCATCAAAGATTTGTTCATTTTGCAAAGCACATAATTGTTTCCTCCCTCAACCCTGCACAATCACATATTATTTAACGTATAAAGCATACGAAGAAGACTCAACTAATATCAGAGGGGAGACCTTCCAAACACATTTAAGAGATGATTCTGAAAGAATCGTTTAAGACAGTGGTCAGCAAATCGCGGCTCGCGAGCCGCATGGGACCTGAGTGCGGCTCGGCCAGTCGGCCACAAATCGGTTTTGACTCCGATAAACATGGTTCTGGACAGGTTATTGAAAAGAAATTTGGCTCTAAAAAAAAAATAATTAATAGTCCTGCTGCTGATTTTTGGCTCTTATGATTAATGAGTTTGCCGAGCACTGGTCTAAGACACGCCTACTCACAAAGTAAGTTAAATCAGGCTGGGGGTAGAGGGTCGATGTCTGTCTATTATATCCTGAGATATCCCTTCACGTTGCTATATTGTACTTGCAGGTAGAGGGTCGATGTCTGTCTTATTATATCCTGAGATATCCCTTCACGTTGTGCTATTGTACTTTGAGGTAGAGGGTCGGTTTCTGTCTATTATATCCTGAGATATCCCTTCACGTTGTTCTATTGTACTTGCAGGATCTGAGCGTCGTAGAGTACCGCCAACTGCCCGCCTACGGGCTGGCAGACCTGTTCGCTGACATAGGCGGCACCTTGGGCCTGTGGATGGGCATCTCCGTGCTGACCATCATGGAGCTGATGGAGCTCATCATTCGGCTCGTTGGCCTGGTGTTCAGCGAGCGCGACGAGCCCAGGCGCCAAACCAACGAAACTTTCACCGCCGACAACCGGCGAACCCATCCCAAAACCTCGAACGCTCCCCAAGAGAGCAACTATCCGGATCCCTTCGGAGCCCCAGAGTTCAACTTCCGGCGCGGCGTTGAGGCGCCCCCGATATGACGCAACGCCCAAACCTAGGGAAAGACTTGGTGACGTCTTACCTTGAACAGCTCGTGACTGGTCGTTGACCACTGGAGATTTTTTTTACACTTCGTTTCCACAATATTTTTTTTTTTACCAATGTAAAATGGGTCCAATACATACCGGATGACCAAGGCGGTTATTTGAAGCGCACTATTTAAGAACTATTTCCAAGTCGTATAACAGAATGATGAATCTGTCTGGACAGCAAACTGCCTATATCCTCATATACAGCCCCTCGGAGACACCATCCCGTGTGCAGTATGGAACGAGGAGCCACAGCGACGGGATGGGTAATGGGATATGACTTCTGCCTCCCGCTACAATACACACCAATCTATCAGAGTATTGATCCCCAATACAAACAAAGTTTGTATCGTTGTTGTTTTGTTGTTGTTGGTTTTTTTAATATGTTGGGTTTATTCCCCCCCCCCCCCGGTCAAGTAGGGAATTTGTGAAAATTTTGACCCACGAAACAAAACTT